CCTAGAAGTTTTACAAAAAATACTATCATAATCAGACCTGATTGGGTAGATTTGTGATGTACAGGCTTCGACAGAAGGAAATTGATCAAACGAGGAAGAACACTAGTAATTTGAAGATTTTATTCGAGATGTGCGTAACAATTTAAAGGATGGAGATATATAAATTTCATGACTCAGTGATGAAGATAAAATTTTTAGAATATTTTAAACTGTAAACAAGACATCATTTATTCACCATAACCAAGTAAACTTTAATTTAAAGATTTACATGTATGATAAAATCTGTACTGGTACTTTACAAATATACACTTTTAGTGTTGTGTTTATTATCTAACACCCTGTGATGGTTAATTACAAACAAAGGATTCACATGATATAAAATTAGAATATTAAAGCTAGATGTAATACACTGCTCATCTAATACAGTGGTGAACAAAAAGTTATCAAAGAGACTGGATCCCTTGTGTACTGATTCCCCGCTGTGTCCCAGCTTAGAGTCGATGTTAGTTGATTTATTTTGATCATATTAACAATAAATCATTGGTATTACCTTATGTTTTAATTTTAGCCATTTTTTTTTTCATTTTGTTTGCAAGTATCCAAGAGAATATTATCATTCTGTTCTTAGTTTGGTCATATTGAGATCATTAACACAATTTTTTTTCAAAATGTATTCTGTATTTAGACAGCATGAAGTCATTCCAACAAAGTGACAGTTCTTTATCAGGTTATATTTCCTGCTTTTAAAACAGAGGGCCCAAGGTTTTATCTTTTTGACTTTTTCTAATGTTTAGTGTTTGAAAAAGTCACCACATATTGTAAAATTACACGTCAGGATTGAACTTGGCCTTTTCCTACATTGTGCTACTGTCAGTTGAGCTATAACAATGATTGACCGTTCAGAGATTTTATCCAACAATTTCTTACTTCTGTGATGGAGGAGTCATTCCCCTTTTGCCCTCTTGACTTTCATTTCGGACCTTGCCACCTTTATTTACTATGTTCATTGCATTCATTTATCTCTAGCTTGATGTAATTTGTATGAGTTACTCCCCTTTGATGAACTCTCTAGAGCTGGTCATGTCTTGAGTTTGACAGGAGTTATTACCCTTTCTCATTCCCTCCTTTTAACCTCTGTCCTTTGAAAGACAATCACAGAGGTCCTTCTTAAAGTCTGATGATGCCCGTATTCTGCTTGTTGTAGACAACATGTACAATTCCTGATAATGCCAAGACAAAAATTAAAAGTGCGGAATGCAAAGAGCCAGAGAAAACATGGCAGAACTGACCGGTCAGCCAATCTAATCTGTGGTTGATTGCCACCTAGCGATGAAATATTTTGGCAGGATATTGATATTTGGGGATCAAAATCCCCGAGTTTGGTTTGATCCCCAGATTTGACCCTAAACAATGACTTCTGAGTTGGAACCCCAGATTTCTATTACATCTATAGATTGACCCTATAACAGTGACCTCTACATATTGCAATATTACTCTGTGGAGACTGTAAGAATACCATTCAAATACATGTTCCTTATTGTGCCAGCTTGAATTTGAACTATGATAAATGTGTTGAATGTATTTCTCAGGGAACATCCCAATTTTTTACAAGTTTTGTTGTTTTTTTTTAATTTTTGGTTGTTGTCGTTGATTTTTTTTGTTTTTTTGTTTTTTTCGCTTTTTTTTTTTTTTAACATTAGAAAGAATTACACCTATGATAAAGCAGGAAATGTTTTCCTCTGTTAAAGATTTACTAAGTAGAATTTCACGGAAAAAAACTCAAAATAGACAACACAATATAGTATATCTCGGGAAATAACCTCGCTGTATTGTTGAAGTTAATCTTTAAAATTTCCTATTTCCAAAAATATCTAACAAAGCTAATACTATTTTTCAACAAATAAATATCAGGGGTTATCATAGTACACAGAATTTCTAGTTTTGTTTTGTGATAGTTAGAAGACTCATAATTAAAACAGTTCTGGTTTAGCTCACCTGAATTTCTTGTTCATAAAATATTGATAGAAAATAGCAAATAGGATTATCCCTGGAAGATTTGGGAAAATTGTGTCTTACCACTAACCAAAACAGCAATGTCTCAAGTCAATCAAATACCCGGGCATTTCTCTGGTGATACAGTTCAATGTTGATACAGACAGACTGTTTGGTGTGTTTTGATGCTTTTGAAATTTAAGTTACAGCACGATACTTCTTGCTTCATACAAAAGTACAAGCCCCACTGACATTTTTTAAAGACAATTTGGACAAAGCAGACAATACCTTAACTGTTTACGTAATCACGGAGTCCAGGGAACTTGGCACTTATTATTGAGATATGTTTTACAGAGAGATTTATGTGAAAATAATTGGTCCATTAGCATAAAATCTACGTAAGCTCACGTCACATTCTTAAGAAACATTCTAGTAGAGGCATCAGCATGTGAAATGTAGTGCAAGAATTCTCGTTTTCTGTTAACATTTGCTGCACTGACAAAAATCATAATAAGATTGTAAAAAAAAAAAAAGCAGAAAGGGCGTTGATCACTTGAGTAATTGTACTCTGATGTTAAAAGCTAGGAGGTGGCCAAGTGGTAACATGCTCCTCACTCAATGAGAAGGGGTTCAAACTTAGATGGAAACAAAAACATGTATAGTAGCTGTACCTCTGAATTCATTCCACAAAGTTTTTATTTTTGGGGGTGATAAGGAAGGGGAAGTTGGGGAAACCCAGTGGGGGATGAAAATTGAAATGTGGCATTTTCTTGTCAATTCAGACAATTACCCGATATGTTGATGCAGTATTTCACTTACAGATTACTTGGAAATATAAGCATAATGCTGTAATTTTATAATAGTAATTTTGGATAAGTAAAACTTTTACAAAATTTTCAGATGGTTTTTATCTTTCTTGACTTATTTTAGATGGTGTATTTTTCAAACTGGGAGTGTTTTTCATGAAATTAGAGGAGAATTAAGTGGCATGATTTCACATGTAGCCCCTTACTATACAGTATACTGTAGCAGAGTGATAATTATGTGGGTTTATTTGGGTCATCAAATCTCTTACAACAAATGAGCCATTGTAGAATCAGATAAATCATCTTCAATACAATCTATAGACACTTTATAAAAGAAGCTCTCATGTCAGAACCATATATGTACACATCCACCACAGAGGAAACCAGGATGGATTAAGGTCTGTTTACAACAGAGGCTTAAGTATACATGTATGACCATGATGACAAAGATAGAATTTGAACTTCAATTACAAAAACAGAATTTTTTCCAGATTTATTAACAACCTGCAAAAGATGGGAATTGTACAAGAATAAAATGGATGATGCATCAAGGGATGAACACTATCAAACTTGCTTCAGATGCTGGATTTTAATTACATTTTCTGGATTAGTGATTAGTTTGAAGTTTTTGGATAAGTTCATTCCCAAGTAACTGCAAGCCCCACAGATCAAAATGGCATAAATGTTGCATCTAAGGATGCACACTACTAGATTATTTGTTTAGTGTGGGACTTTGCCTTACTTGAAGACAACATTCGTAGAGGTGAGCTCTGTAATCTCTGATTACCTATGTTTCTTTCTTTTGGGAAGTATAAGGTGTATTTGTTGGTGGCTTACAGTGTTCCAAGCCTTGCACGCTTTAGATCTACATCTGTCAGAATCTAAGTGTGTGTCTCTTGATTACACATGAAATATTACTCAGGTATTATCTACCCCCTAGGGAAGCAAAGTTTTCATCAAAATCTGCATTGAAGCAGTTGAAGAGCACTGGGATTTGTTATTGCTAAGTTTGGCACTCACATAGATAATTTTTAGGTTCACAACTTCCTTGGAATTCTTACAATAAAAAAAATCCACATGTTGTAGGAGTTTCTGGGCCATGAAAAAAGTTAGCTTATGAAATCAATGTATCTGATGAAGATCTCCTGTAAAAACCTAGAGATAGATATAATCAAATGAGAAGATTAGAATAATGATAAATGGGAAAGTAGCGAGGAAGTCAATATAGATATTAGTCTATTTGACTGATATATTTTAACGATTGTGTACAATTCAACTTGGCTTGTTTTTCTTCTTGTGCAAGGTTGTGTAGATGAAACGGAGCTATGTTTAATTCCTTATAATAGCAAGTGTACAGGAGACAGATGTCGTCAAGTGAATATTTCTAGAACAGAGCAAGCATTGTTAAAAAAAAAACAACATGAAATTTAACAGATGCAGATGGTAACAGAATTGATTGAAAGTATCCTATCATTCTCCATATTTACGTGTGACCTTAAATTTTTCTAGTGCTGTTGACATTACAGACTTTATTTCAGATAAAGGGAAACACTTTAAAATATTTATGAAGTTTCTGAATTTTGAAAGATAAAATTCTTAGTAAACTCTGTGAGTTCTTGATAGTTGACTGCTACATGTATCATCAGAAATTCAGTTCACAAGACAAACAAGAACACGACACGTACAGGATTCGGAAACCTAAACCTTTTTTCCTTGAGACAAATTAGGAAACGAGATCCATCATCCTTAAATCCACTTAGCTATTATCCGTAATCCACTTACTGCTAATTGGTGGAGAAGCTTCTTTGTCAGTTCTATGATCTGACATGAAACTGTGTACACTATTCTCTCTTCCCGCATTTTCTTAATCCAAAAGCTTTATTCTTTATTGCAAACTCAGCTCTCTGTATCAGAGAATTGAATAGTTGATAGGTATTTTATAGATTTGAATGTTTTCATTTGAGCTCAGTAATGAGCGTAACTCCGTAACTCGTTCTGTCATCTCGCTGCAAGAGGGAAATTAGATTAATCCATGACCGCCATGGGATGTTGTATTAAGATGTTTTATATAACTAGTCATTGTTTCGTTTTTATTTCCCATTGGTAAAAAGATCCAGATTGATTTGGATTTACATGCATAAGAAATATTGGAGAGGAGGATCTGAGAACCTGCAAGGAGCCAGGGTGTTTTTTATTGGGTAAATAATCCCCATACAAAACACATTTACAGAAGTGAAAATTGAATGAGAATTGCGCATTATTGGCACGAGTTATCGCCTTGTTTACATATTTTGTTGATCAGGTGAAGCTGTAGTTGAAGGAGACGGTTTAATTTTAGACAGCATGGAGTCAGTGGCAATGACTAGCCCTTTAAGTGGTGTGTATTTTTGGAAGCACCCTGTACAGATTTAACACACAAGGGTAGTTTGTATTGACAATATGCACTGGAGTGTTTCAGCTTTGTTTAGCAATGTAAAAAAATAATCAGCCTGCTCTGACAAGGTTTGCTCTAGTTTTCTGTGAGATATAATGTTTATTTTTGGAGTGGGAGTTTAGGATATATATAAATCACCTGTAATTAACAGGTGAGAGGAATGTAACACCTGGAGAAATCCTAGTGACTGAAGCGACAGATTTGACCTGTCACCGTGTTAGCGAAGGGCGGTCCCGAGCCCTATGTCACGGGGGTATAGAGTTGATATATATTCTCTGTAAAGACGTTTAATGTGAGTGAGATAGTTCAGTACCTGAGACCAGCAGTACGTAGGTATGATCTACCTGACACAGCACACCTGGGCAGTAATGCTCAGGTAGGCTGAGGTGTTCCATTTGAGCTCAGCATCCAAATCTCAGAGGAATAATTGGAAAATTAAATCATGGCCTCGGAACCAATTCACAGAGTACTTAGTACCAGTGCGCTTCGTATTCCAAAACAAAGGAACTCATTCTGGAGAAGGTAGGTATGATTTTAAAATAAAATGAGATTTATTTTTAGTTCAGTACATGCTTGTTTCATCATAGCTTCTTCCTTCCCAAATATTTTCTTATGACAATCCTTGAATTGGACACAAACACTTTAGAATGGCTTCAACCTATGACTACACTGTTATTGTAAATTTCATTAAGTTGAAGTCTAATTCTGATGAGAGAGAGAGAGAAGGACAATTCATATTAGTAAACAAAGGAGGATGCAGAAGTGTTCTTGTGTGTAGGATGTGAACACTAGTTTTAACTTAATTAACAACCTCCCCGTTAACTGACGAGTTAGTGTAACGAAGTACTATAAGCATGGAGGAAAACATTTCCCCCGCTGTGGGTGATGTATAGTTCTAGTGTGGTGGTTTTGACATGTACACGTCAGGAATGTCCTGTTTTTACATACACAAACCAGGAATAGGATACAATAAACTACAAAATAAACGACTTCATTTGTTTTAATTAAATGTTTGAAGTCGTATAATTCAAATCTTAAACAAAATTTCATATGGTTCATGCTTCATTTATTGAAGTATTCTAAAATAGAATTTTTCCAAGCTACATTTTTAATGCCCTTAATAAATAAATGATCTTTGTAATAGTTTGGCATGTTTGATTGGTTTACAAATCAGTATGAATCCTGCTGATCAGTAATGGTTGTCACTAATTGAATATCTATATTTAAACAATGCTGCATGGTAACACTAACTCAGATCGTGTTGATTTTTTTTTTTTTTTTTTTTTTTTGCTGGCATTTTTTTTTCACCAAATATTTTCCAAAAAAGCTTAATAATTAAATACACAGGTTACTTTTTTTTTATTTGAAATTCTTGGACTATGTTCTCTAGGGACTTATTTTTAGACATTTTTTTTTTAAATTTCTGTTTTTGCATTCTATTATGATTTTTATTTTCCCTGTATTAATACCCCCCTTCAATTGATTCTTTGATTTTTGTTTGTATATTTGTTTGTTATTTGGTTATTGTTTGTTTTTTGATGATTTTATTTATTGTCTGTTTGGTTTTTTTTTTTGGTTTTTTTTTTTGATGATTTTGTTTTATTAATTTTTTTTGTGATTAAATTATTTATAAGTGATTTTCTAGGGCATCATTGCAATTAGACAATCCAGAAAATTGATTAATTGCACCAATAAATTAAGTTTGAATTCTTTTAAGGAAATTATTATTGATATTTTCTTTTTTATGTCATCATGAGTAACTTTTTAGCCTGTTGTTCTCTTTTATAATTGAAGTTGATTTATCACATTAAATTTTTGATTCATATATTATAATAGCTTGCATTATTCTGTGACAATTAAAAAAGAAGCATACTCATGGTAACTGTCTTTACCTTCCATTAATTTATCTGATTTTCCTTCAGTTACTGACTTGTGAACATTTTCATCAAAATCAGGTGGGTGGCTTAAATCTGATAACGCTCTGTATTCCATATTCTCTAACAATGAGTTAATCATGTTTTACGGTACACATAAACTAACTCGTCTGTCACCAATTTCTTTCTTTAATTAGTTATTTTTTTTCTCCTGATTGAGGAATACTTTTTGTTTTTCTGTTAATTCCTTCAATATGTTTAGGAACAACAGGTTTTTATTGTTTATTTGGAGGTTTGATGAGAAGCCGAGATGCAGTGTGTATAAATAGTTATGCGAAGCGTAGCCGATGATACGCGTCTCCACTGTCAGGCAAGACCAGATTGTGATCAAAGCACATCATCACATCTTTCTTTTTCCTCTTGATTTTTTCTTCTCTGAAAACTGCACCAACATCTGCATTTTGTATTTCAGCGTGACATATGAAACTAGCAACTTTCTTTTTTTCTGCACCTGTTCATGTCTTCCAGTTATTTTACAAAAAGAAACAAACTTTCCCCGACGAAATCAGTTATCTTGTTCTTTCAGTACATTTATTTTTTATCTTTTTTACTAAATTGTCAAGAGAAGCTTTTTTTAAGAGGCAATTAGTGTCTCCATTGTCAGGAAATAATTGATTTTTTTAGTTATGAAAAGATCTATGATATAGATGGGTATGTTTTTAATCTTGTGAAATGGGATTTTGATCTTGTACTGTAACTTTGTCCTGCAGAGAGGAAGCATTTGATCACATACGGAATCCTGGGATCAGGTGCAACCTTTGGTTCCATCAAATGTTTCCATGGCAATTCTGATGTCACTCAGGAAATGTCTTTTAAACTTCATATAAAATATCACTTAAATTTTTCCAGTGAAATGAATCTTTCACTAATGTTCCTGATTCATAATTTTTTTTATCATGTCTATATCGACCTTTAATAATTTTTGGGCTGCTTGTTGCTCATTAAGACATTGAAGGCCTTTTATAGATTTGTATGAATGCTTTTTAACCATGTTCACTTGCAGTTCATCTGTGTTACCTAACATCCCCCCTTCCTTGTCAGCAGCTGGTATTTTGGTTATACATTGTATTTATAATTTTCCTTTGAGGTAAAAGAGTACATCTCACTTCTTTTTCACCCTCGGAATCATGGCTAACTACAAGATGAATGATGAACCATCTTGTAAAACTGAAGTTGATTATTCTGAGCAGATGTTTTTCCCAATAGATTTTGTAGATGCAATGAAGCTGTAGGGACAGACTTTTGGAATGCAGTTAAATGCTGATTTAAAACTTGATTCTGTTTGCATTGATTTGTTCTGTTCATAAATCAGTGTTGTAATTACACGGAGCCATTAGCTAGCTCTGTCTCTGTTGGAATGTGAAGCCACTGCCTCGATCAGACAATTTCAAAACTTTTAAAATTCATTACTTTCTCAGTCCAAATGATATATTTAACAGGGGTTTTAAGGACTCAAAGTAAAGAAGCTAAGTGGGGTTTTTTTCCTGGTCGGAGACGACATGTCTACCTAACTGATGTGATTTAGGGTGACTGAGAAATATCTATTATTGTTAAACACCTCCATATCAACGCTCTTGATTCTTCAGATGACTTTATAAAATAAATCTATCAGGCTTAGGGAGCTACAAATTTTTTATTGAATTGACAAGATGAGGTGCTGATGTTCAGGCCTTGAACACACTAAACTGTTAAGAATGGTTCACTTTGTGAACCATATGCCTTGTGAATTATGCTCACATTGGATTGCCTTCTGAATTATACTCACATTGGATCGCCTTGTGAACTATTATTGTGAACTATTATGCTCACATTAGATCGTTTTGTAAACTATACTTATATTTGATCGCTCTGTGAACTATACTCATATTTGATTACTTTATGAACTATACTCACACTGGATTGCCTTGTGAACTATACTCACAGTGAAGACATCAAACACACCTTTACAATATAAAAGTTTCCTAGTACATCTACACTTGTTGAGATGCATTGACCGACATCATTATTTATTTCCTCGCAGTGATACAAAGCCTCAACAATTAATCTATAAGTTGATCTGTCATCTGTCACTTGAACAAATTAATTTTTTTTTCTTCAAGAGAAGTCCAGATATGACAGTAAATATTAATGTCTGTGTTTAAGACATTTTACTCTCTAGATAACGTTAGATTTTTTGCTGTCTTGTTTGGACAATAACTACTAGAGATTTATGATTGTTCAAAAGGGGGAAATAAATTGCTTTTTAATACAGTTAATATTGCAGCATAAGTTCATTTATTGGTGTCATTTATAACAGATTTTAAAGCTTTCAGTGACCTGAGAGATGAAATATCTATCTGTCATGATAACATTTTTACGGTCATAAATAATATTTCTAGAAGAAGAAAATAATGGAATCCTATAAAGTTCAGGACTTAAATGCATGGGGGATTAATTCTTAATCTCAAGGAGATTTAAGCCACCATTAACCTAAATATTAACTTACTATTGAAAGAAAACTGTCATTTAATGACCTTTTTCTGCATGGATATCCAAGCCTTACATTTTAATAGATTGAATTTAAAACAATACAGTGATTTTCTTTAAGTGTATGTGTAAATGATGCTCAGCTAAATATACAAATGAGTGTACATGTACATATTTTAGTAAATTAAAAATTAAGAGCAAAGATCATGAGTTTATGAATCAAGTTGAAATAAGTACACCTGCACTATATGGTAAATTAATCATGTTAATTTAGTCTTATAGAAAGGATTTCTTCATTGTAAACTTCATAGAAAGATGAGCCTTATAAGTTCTTTTCAGGAAAAACTGAATATTGATGATAAATTTGTGCCATTACTTTCCTTGTGATCCATTTGTGAAGCTCTGGATGATTGACTCATTCTAATTACAGAGTGATTTGTAGATCCTTTAAATTTACCATCATTAAAGTGGTCCATATCTACACAAGATGGTTCCTTGTTAGTCCCAGGACTCTCCTTAAGCGGAGGATAAATAAAGTTTGTCCATCAGTTGTAGGGTGATACATGACTGTGTCTAAGACTTATGGTCAATAAATCTTACTTGACTGTCTTCAGTGTGGACTTCCTGGACATTATGGAAGGTCAGAATTAAGTGACCAGGAGGTGATCTATTGATCTGACCTTGAGAATGATGAGGGATATGTCCTGAGATGTGATGAAGTCAAAGTTAAAAATACTCGGTACCAGTAAAAATAAACAAACTAGTTTCATAGTATTAAGGGTGATAATTAATTATATCTCTGATGAGTAGTAATTTTAGGTTTAAAAGTAAAGAAGTGATTTATGATTAAATGTTCAGAGTTACAGGCATAAGGATGCCCAGACTATTCAAGCTGTGTTAGGGTAATTAAGAGTAGAGCAATGTCTAATGTGGTCAAGAATATTGAGGTTTTAATTAGTGGAGTAATGGGAGCTTATAATTGTTCGTGGGAGCCGTGTATTGAGTTAAGGTCAAATTAGAGTTAGGACAGTTTGATAAAGATATATGTAGAGTTGGAGTTAGTTAATTAATAGATGGAAGCTAATGTTTCAGATAATCATCTATTGGAGCTAAGATTCATAT